TCCTAGAAGTGACACACTGCTTCTCACGTGTTACTGGCCCCACCTAACTACAGGGGGCCCCAGAAATGTAAACTCCCATTTGCCCAGGAAGTAAAGGAGAACCAGATATTACTGAACGTTAGTGATGTTTGCCACAGACAAGGTGACCTTGGTGATTCAAGGTCCATTGGCTTCCGCTCCTCCAGCCCTTCCAAGGGTTTCAGAAGCACTGAATTGCCTGGCTGATATCCCTTTGGGTTTTTTTGTTTGTTTGTTTGTTTTTATTTTTTAAAGGAGTTTATTTATTTCTTTTTAGAGAGGGAAGGGAGGGAGAAAGAGAGAGAGAAACATCAATGTGTGGCTGCTGGGGGCCATGGCCTGCAACCCAGGCATGTGCCCTGACTGGGAATCGAACCTGTGACACTTTGGCTCGCAGTCCGCGCTCAATCCACTGAGCTACGCCAGCCAGGCCCTTTGTTTTTTCATATATCTAGTGGTTTGGGGTCCCTCCAGAGAACCCTGCCTGCATCAGGTGTGTGCTGGTGGCTCTCTGTCCCCTCACTGCCATCCACCCTCCACCCTCTGCGCCCTCCTGTGTGCCCCAGGAGGGCGTCCTCTACGAACTACACCTTCAAGGTTCCATTGCCCTATGGCTTGGGGTAGTTTTGGATAATGGGAGGTACTACTAGACTGTGGGTCCCTTACCCTGCTCTATGAAGAGTTCTGCAAAAAGTGCTGGCTGGTGTAGCTCAGTTGATTGAGTGTGGGCTGTGAACTAAAGGGTCACCAGTTCAATTCCCAGTCAGGTCACATGCCCGGGTTGGAAGCCAGGTCCCCAGTGGGGGCCACATGAGAGGCAACCACAGATTGATGTTTCTCCCCCTCTCCTTCTCCCTCCCTTCCCCTCTCTCTAAAAAATAAATAAATAAATTCTTTTTAAAAAATAAAGTTCTGTAAAGGGTCCTTTCATTAAACTTTTTTTTTTTTATTTAAACACCTTGAGTACGATGTCTGCTTCTTGCCTGGACTCATACAAGGTGTTTCATAATCAAACATGAGTCTAAAAAGGAACATTAGACTCTTTCCCCACCTCTAGTTTTACTGCAGCTGGAGATCCTGATAAAATGCAAATCTGAATTTAGTATCCCCGTCGCCGCACCCCCTCTAAACTGCAGCCATTCCTGAGCCACTTTCAGTTCCTTCTGCAGCACGGTCTCTTCCTCTGAGCCTTTGCACATGCACTAGCTTCTTCCTGGAAACCGCTCCCCACCCCCACTCTTGCATTCAGACCTCAGCTCAATGTCACTTACCCCAGGGTCTCCCACAAACCTGCTTTGCTAGTTAGATGTGGTTCTGTGCTCCCAGCAGCCTCCGCTTACCCACACACACAGACAGAACTCAGGGCCACAGTGCACTGCAACCACCTGCTTGCTTATGGCCGGTAGACTCCAGTACCCTCCCTCCCGTCGGCTGTGGGATATGGAACAGGCGCTGCGTCTTAGCTCTCCAGGACCTAGAAGGCGCCTGGCACTTAACAGGCTCTCCATCAATCTTGAGTAGCTCCTGAATGGTACTGAGAAGGCTTGAGCCTTCCCTTCGCCTTTAGCTATTGTCCTCTCTTTCCACTCAATAACAAAGACCTGAAAAAAATCATTTTTAGTCACCCTCTCCTCATGACTGCCCTCTGTTCACTTCCCAGACCATTTTAATCTTACTCTGACACCGCCTTTTAGGGAGACTTCTGCCAAGGTTATCCATGACCTGCGAGATCTTCAAATGAACAGCTTCTTTTCCATTGTAGGAGAGGAAACATAATTTTCCTTCTACCCATCTAAGTTATTCTGGCTGGTCTAGTAATCAGATTAATGTGAGAGATTAATGGGAGAAAATAACCAAATTCATTACATATATAATATATACACATATGGACAGAAGGTCCATAGAATAGGGGCCCCTGAGGACACACAGGGCAGTCACGGCGGACACGGCACATACACAGGCTGCTCTGGACTAAGGAGAGGCAGGCAGGGGCCTGGGGCTTCAGAGGGAAGGTAGGTAAGAAAGAGCAAACCTTTGGCCAGCAAATTCCTGCCGGGCCATCGGAAACAATGAGACGCCCAGGGGAGTCCAGCAGACAGAGGCTGCTAGGTTCCTCCTTTAGGTCACATCTAGTTTATTTGAGATAAGGTGACAGCTCCCTTCCTTTAAACATTTTTTTCTGTCTGAATTTCCTTTAGGCAGGTAAGGGAGAGCATCAAAGGTTCTTTCTGAGATTTTTATTTCTTAAAAAAATAGCTTAAAATAATACGCATCCCAAATGACCTGATTTGCGGTGGCAAACTCCGCTTCCCCTCACAGTTGCAGCGATCCAGAACTGCTCTGCAGCGCTTTCTGGAAACGCGTTGCTCTGCTCTCCATGGACCATGAACATTATAGTAGACTGTTCTACGTGGCGTTGGCCCAGCTCCCACTGGGAGATGCACAGGACCCACACCCACGGATAGGTTCTCCCGTGGGGAATCAGGCCTGCAATGTACCTAGGCCACTATGAGTCTTGCTTTTTGCTAAAACTCCCTCAGCCTGAATTGAGGATATTTACTGCAAAGTAACTTCCTAAAATCCATGCTAAACCTTCCAAGGATGAGTGTAACTGGTTCAACCACTTTTGCCTTTTCATTTGCAAATATCCCTCTTCTATGATGTGGTTAGCAGCATTGGCTCCTTTGTTTTCTGTATAAGGTAACCACCTAAAGCGAACCTGTACATAGTAAATGAGGACCATCATGTAATGTGAAGGGATAGAAATAAAGGCCTGTCATGGCGGAGGCTGCGGCTTTGGCTCCCCTTGAGAGAAAAGCCATGCCGTCCCTTTTCCTCCACCGGACTCGATAGTCTGTGTGAATGTCTCATTTCATCCGTAATGACTCGGACACTGTGGACCGGGGTCTGCATCAGAGAATAACTCTCTCTCCCCACCCCCCGCCCCACTCTGTTTGCACGTCTATGTTATCCTCACATTTATGCTATCCTCCATTCACTTATAAGCCCCTATGTCTTTCCATTCGTATCATGGGTCCCCAGCATAGTGTCTGGCACACGGGAGGTCTTGGTAACCATGATCATTAAATGATTAACACTCTTTCTTGGCTTCCAGGCCATCTTTCTTGACATCTTTCTCTGACTGTTCCCAGGCACTTTCACAAGTTCCTCTTCCTCCATCTACCCCTTAAATGTTCTTCAGAGTCACTCATTTTTATCCACCTTTGGGTTTTCCACCATCAGGGAATACTCTTAGTTCCCAAATGACTATTTCAATCTTAACCTTTCACCTGAGCTAAGGGTGCCCTTCTTTCCTCGAATGTCTTTCAGATAGTTCAAATCCTCATTATCCCTTCCATTCCCACCCTGCCCTTCTCCAGCTCCCAAAGCTCATTCCATGGAATCAACATCCATCTAGTTGTCCAAGTTACAAACCTCAAGGTGTCCCCTTAATTCTTTCCACCGCGCCCCCCAACTCCTGCTGGGCAACCAGTTTATCCACTACCAACCCGCCTGTCCCCAAATCCTAAACTCTGCCCCTGGGTATTCTATTTCTTCCATGTAGAACATCCCTCCCCCTTTGTGCCAAATCCTGGTCGCTGGTTACAATTCAGAACACTGGTTCACTTCAGTTAATCGCTTCCTCTTCTGAGTTCCAGACAAGTTGCTTCTTCATTCTGAAGAAACACACCTTGATGCTAGGTTTTGTTTTCTAATGACTGATTTACATATGTCTCCCTCGCTAGATTGTAAAAATTTTGAGGGCAGGCTTTTGTTTTTACTTGTTTTGTTTTGTTTTATCATTGGCTCTAGCCAGCGACTGACACTTGAGCCCATTAAAGAAATATTTTTACATGAATGACTGCATGAATAAATGAGCTCCTGAGAACGGAACCTCTTCAATGACACCCTTTCAGAGATTACTGCAAGGGAACACGAGCATTGTGTCAGCACGTAGGCAATGCGCACTGAAACGACCTATACCTGCCTGTAGACGGCAGGTAAGTGCTATGCGTCTAGGGAGCTTTCTTTATTTTTAGGCTTTTCAGTTCTTGGTCTGTACAGCCAAATTTGAAAAGGGAAGCTGTTGTTTTAACCTGTTCCGTACTCTTTTATCCTGGGTGACAGGAATTCAGAGTATAAACAAGAGGACGCCTGCAGCAGTCCAGCCGATGCCTGGGCGGGCACTTGGTAGGCCCGCCAACACACTCCAATGCTTTTGCTCTTGCCTATCCCGTCTTTACTCTATATTAAAGGCTCGTGAATTGAGAGCGCCTACGGGAAATCTTAGCTTTAGGATTTCAATTTGGTGAAAGCAACGTCGTGGAGATTCCGATGAATAATATTCTCCCAGGACTCTCAGTCCCGGGGGAGGAGGAAGAATCACTCCGCTGGAGGGGCCTGGGGAGGAGGGGGGCGGAGCAACCCCGGAGGAAAAGCGGAGAGCAAGCGGGAGAAGGAACCTCCTTTCGGGTCGGGTTGGCGTTTTTTGAACCCCGCAGAGACGTGACGCCCTAACTGCCCTCGCGGCTGGTTTCCCCGCGGAGCGCCCGCCCCAAGTTTCCCCGCCCGCCCTCTCGCTTCCGCCGGGCGACGCGCTGCCGGCCGCCGCCGCTGGGGGCGCCCGGGACCCGCGGAGGAGGAGGCGGCGGCGGCGGCGGCAGTTCTCGAAGCGGCGCCTCTCCGGCTCTCAGACGGGCGGCGGCGGCGGCGGCGGCGAGCTGCGCCCCAAAACGGCGCCCACCGCCCAGACGAGCTGCAGCACGAGCGCTCCCGCGCCGCGGCCGCCGCCGCGCTCCGGCCCGGACTGCCGCGAGGGGCGGCGGCCCCGGCCCCGACCGGCTCGCGGCGCCCCCCAGCCGCGCCCCCGCGCGGAGCTCGCGGCCCCGGCCATGGGGCTGGGCGGGCCCGGGGCTCGGCCGAGCTGAAGCGGTGGCGGCCCGCGCGCCCCTGGGGGCCGCCCCCGCACCCCGCTCGCCGGCGCCTGGCTCTCATGATGATGAAGAAGAAGAAGTTTAAGTTTAGGGTGGACTTCCAGCTCGAGGAGCTCTCCTCGGTGCCCTTCGTCAACGGGGTCCTCTTCTGCAAGATGCGGCTGCTGGACGGCGGCAGCTTCACCGCCGAGTCCCCCAGGTAAGGCGCCGGCGCGCCCGCGGGGCGGGAGTGGGGGCCCGCGCGTCTTTCCGCGGCCCCTGCGCTCCCGCGGGGCGGCCGGCCTCGCGGTCGCCTCTCTCGGGACCATCCTGGAATCGGTCAGCAAGGTATTGATCTGCACAAAGTGCTTCGCAAATACGCTCATCTGGGTTCCTGCCCTCCTGATTCCAGATGCTTCCTGGGATCTGCTCTTCCCCCCTAAATTTTCTAGGCTAGGGAGCAACGGCCAGAAGGGAGAAGATGCTTCTGGTTTCTCTTAGACGTTTCCATATTTGTGAAGTGCAAAGTGGAACTTGAGCTGTTAAAACTCACAGAAATAACCCTACGTGCTTGAGCTCCGAGAGCGCCGGCTCGGAGCAGACTCCTGTGCGGAGCCTAACTCCTCCCCCCTGTCGGTTGCCGGGCACCTGGAGCCAGGGCTGGGCCTGGACGGGCTGGATGGAGGCAGGTGTTCGTTGGCGGACGGGGCGACGTCTGTGCCTCATCGGGAAGCTGAGTGCCTGGTTCCGCGCTCACAGTGCCTCCGTGACCCACCTTGGCGTGGCCAGCAGTGGCTCTCAGTGCGGAGGACCCAGAACCAGAACGGGAGCCAAGACCCTGTCCCCTCCCCCCACAAATTTGAAATGAGCCCCTGGCACTCAGGGAGAGTCGTTGGCAGGTCGCAGAATAAAATCAGGAGTCGTTCTTGAGTCATTTCAGGGCTATTCCTAGGTTGACAGATTTACGCTAAGCTAAGTGTTCCTTAAGAAAATAGAAAATTTACAGCATTTTTAAATGGGCTTTTAAGTTCCTGAGATCAAGGAAAAGGATCAATACGTAATGCTTCTTTTGCCTAGGTTCACTATTCATAGAGTATATTTTTACCCTAAAAATTCTGTTTTCCTTTTATTTATCATTTCTATTAATAATGTAAAGGACATAATGTCGATAGGTTGTGGAACTGGGGGCCAGAAAATTGCCTGCGGTGACTATATTGAAACCTATGGAAACCAGAAGCTGTAATATCTGGTTGGCCGAAGCCAGACAGGTATGAAGCGCTGTTGATTCTCAGAATTGAAACATGGTCAGCTGAGGGTCGTTTTTAAAATTCAGCTGTGCTGACAAATCTTCTGTGGCTATTCGATTCAGCTAATTATACTACAGTCACTAGTAACACAGGTCGAAAGCTTAGAATGGTGCAGCGGATAAAGCTGTTAGGCGTTGAAAAGCCACCTGCGTTCTACAATGACCTGTAAGTGCAAGTGACAGTCCTACCCTGAACCTTACCCTGCTTTGCTGCAGGGTCACACCCAACATTTCTGGCCGTTAGAACGGGCTCCTGAGCCAGTGGTGCCACCTGCTGGTCAGGGTACTTCTCTACCATCTCCTTTCTCCCGCAGGTTATTGAGGTGGCTGGCAACTCTCAAATTAGTTATTCCCATGCAGGTAATCATTTGCTCAGCAACTATGTTTAGGCTGGGCCCATTAAATATGTCACCTTATATAATTCTCACAGCAAGCCCACAATCTGGGGATTCCCATTTTGCAGATGAATAAACTGAGGCTCAGAAAGCATTCCTAAACTTTCCCAAGGTCCCCCCATCTACTACGTAAAATACCAAGATTCTGAGACGGGTCTGTGTGACGTCAAACAGACTTAATGCCGGTAACAGAGAAAACTGTGTGCTGTGATGAAGTGGGAGGGTCCTAATGTTTTAAGAAGCCAGGGGTATAGTTTGATTGGGAATCTGCACACGTCGTTGGAAAGGGAAAAGGTGAGCGTCTGGGTCAAGCTTACCCCTTTTTCTTCCAACTAAAATTTGGCTGTAATCAGTACCAGTAAGGTTCAGAATAGTGTTCTGTATAACCGAACAGAGTAACTAACTAACCAGCCCACCCGGGTCGTTTGGAGGGAAAGGACCCATAATAAGGAGCCTCATTAGGCAGAGGTAGGTTTTGGAATTAGGTGGATCTTTGCCCCAAACCTCGCTCTGCTGTGGCGGAACCTGGGTGGAGTGCGTAGCCTCCCAGAGCCTCCATCTGTAAAGCAGAAACCGTCACGGCAGAAGGGGTTACTGTGAGGCTTTGGTAAGATCCTGTACCTGAACCAGCTCCCACAGCGCTCTGACACCCGATGAACTTTTATTTTTTTAATATATCTTTTTTTAAAGATTTTATTTATTTATTTTTAGAGAGGGAAGGGAGGGAGAAAGAGAGAGAAAGAGAAACATCAATGTGTGATTGCTGGGGGCTGGGGCCTGAACCCAGGCATGTGCCCTGACTGGGAATCGAACCTGCAATGCTTTTGTTCACAGCCCGCACTCAATCCACTGAGCTATACCAGCCAGGGCCCGATGGACTTTTAAAGAGAACACCAGGAGCTGATCCAAGAGGGCTTGTTAGGTGTTACACTTGACTTCCTTTATCCTGACAACGAGGAACGTTTTGGGTTGAATATTACACCCCATTTACCAGGGAAAAAGAAAACCTGAAATACCTAAAGGTTGTGAATTATTTAAAATCTGTATAACTTTCAATCTTAGGTGCCAGTCCAGGCAGTGCATCTCTAATGAAATGCTAGATTTTAATTTTTTTAAAGATCCCCTTAGACGCCCCTTATCAGTCCAATACAGTTCACACGTGAACATCTCTCCCATGGAAACGTGAGGTGAACTGCACAGCACCCGCAAGACTGCTTTCCTTAGAAAGGCCTGCTTAGAGCTGCTGGCGCCCAGGGGCCTGAATGATCAGCAGGCCCCTACCACTCGCTGTGCCCAGACTACTGTGTGATTTATGCCAGACGCTATCTGGGAGCCTGGGGGTCTGTGCTGGGCAGAGGGTGCCTATGGGGCCAGCCTGAAAAAGGCCGTAGGCAGCGTGTCTCTAACAAGCTCCCTTGGTAGACGGCATGTGCTGTCGCGGTTGGATGCTGGGGAAGTTGTGTTCCCTGGGAGAGGACTCTCAGAAGCTTGCCCTTGGTTTCTCCGGACTTTGCCCCGGGGACTTTGCAGCCCCGTGCACCTTTTATTCCCTGGGCTGATCGGCTTTGATTCCTTCGGTTGTAGTAAAACTCAGACATGAGTGTGACTATGTGCTGAGTCCCATGAGCCCTTCTGCTGGAGCACCGAACCTGGGAGTGGCCTTGAGGCCCCTGGATGCATGAGCCTACGAAAAAGAATCATTTATTTTGTCAGAGAAAAGCCTTAGAGGTGCACAGGACATTGTAAATAGACTTGCAAAAATGCTCAAGATGCTGCTCATTCATTATTCACCAGATATTGAGGATTTACCAGGTTTTGGGCTGCCTGTCAGCAGCGATGAGAAGTATAAAACTAAAGGCCCATAAGGGAATCACATCTATTCAATTAACTTAGGCCATAGACGTGTAATTGTTGATGGTAGGACACAGTGTGATCTAGTGCCAGACCGCTGAATTGGACCGTTTGTGAGAGTCGTTGGCTTTGTGAAGGTAGAGTTTATTCACAGGTGTGATGGTTACTGAAACCTTACCAGCTCTTCGGCATGCCGGGAGGATGCATTTGCATTGACAGGGAAGCGGGTGGACAGCTCGAGCGAGTCCTCAGCTCAGCGGGAGTTGGGAGAGCCGCGTGCCTGCAGGGGGAGTCCACACTGACCCGCAGCAGAAGACCCTGACTTGGAATGTCCTTGTGCCCTGTGCTCTCCGCTGCTCACAGATTAGAGTTCATCTAAGGTTCTCGCACCAGATCGTAATGGGATTATAGCGAGAGTAAGCTGGCTGGTGGGCGGATGCTCTTTGGATTCAGGTGGGGATAAATCAGAAATGGGGGGACAAACTAGGAGTCTGTTGAAATAACCCAGGCAGGCGCTACCAAGAACCTGAACTTGGAGGCCTCTCACGTACATGACCGATGAAATGATAATGCTGCAGCCTGTGCCTTGGTGACGCGACAGGAAAGACGTCAAGAAGCATCTTCGTCTCATTTTGCTTTGTTGGGGGCACTATAACGTATCGCGGGGGAGGGTACAAAACGCTAAGCTGTGTATTTCACGTACGACATGCAGGTGGCAGCCCCACGAGGCACATTCATTGTGTGTTTCTTAGGTTCTCGTCCATTGTAAGTAAACCTGCTTACCAAACTTTGCCGCTAGCATTTCCTTACACTGGTGTGCCCTTTACTTCCTACTTATTTATTTTTTATTGAATTTATTTTATTTTATTTTTCAATTACGATGGACATACAATGCGTGTGTTTCTCGTTTTGCCCTTTTAAAGATTATTAGTGGAAGTTAATTCTAGAAGGATTCAGTTTCTCCTGGGAAGGTATGCCCAGGGAAGACGTTAGAAAGAATATAAAGACCAAAGAGTATTTATTTGTAGTGAATGTTATTTGTATGATCAGATATTACATAGCATGGTTAATAAAACATTCAGAAAATCCATTGTACGATTACAGAAAATTGAAGCTGAGTTATTGCCTAATAAAAAGTTTTGAAGACCTTTCAAAGGCAAGATGCTACATTATTTCAATCTTTTCAAAGCACTCTTCCTTTGTGAAAATGTTCAAGGCACTTTCAGATTTGTTAAGACTGTCAGGACAGATTTAATTTCTGGTCTGCTGGAATCAAAGGAATAGTAAGAAAATTTTCCTGGATTTTTGGGGATTCCCAAGTCTGCCTTACGTGGTTCATCTTTGTGGGTGCCCATCACGGAACACTTTTCTGGGTCTCACATGGGCTGGCGGCCCCGAACCACGTGGATTCAGGGAGTGTCCAGGAAACCAGCAAGCACATCTGTGTATTGGATTTTTTGCTTTGTAAACAAGCTGAAGGGATTTCTTGTCTTTGGCCAGAGTTTGTGTTCATGTTTTCAAGACCTTAATTCACTGCACATTTTGTATTCCCATTTAGTAACCTTTTCCTGATTGCAAAAGTAACATAGATTCATGTAGAACATTTAGGAAATAGAAAAGCAAAAGGAAAAGAACAAAAATTGCATGGAAATGAACCAACTAGAGAAA